ATACATGTTACCACTCGTGGAGCATAGGCCCATTATCAGGAATCGCCAACACACTGTCCTGGGTTATCCTTTCCAATTGTTGCCAGGTGCTATTCATTCTTTTGGTGTCTACCTGTGGTGTTTGCATGAGCTAATGATTCTTTTGTAATTAATGTGGGCCTGATTTTGAATTCAAAATAGAATGCATTCGTTTGTACTCATCTAGTTCTATCTGACTAAAATTGTGTTATTTCGGGGACTCCTAGTTCGTATAATAATTCAAATACTTATAATCATAACATTGGCATTGTGATGGAGCCTGTGATGAAACAGTTGGACATTCAACTTTTGATGCTTTTAAACATTATACAGAAAGGTTCGAAATCTGAACTATGACCAAGGAAGATGTTAATGTTGTGGCTCATTTCCTTACATTCGTTGGAAAAGCTCACAGCTCACTAAAACTTTTGGCATTCCCAGATAAGCCTATTTCACTACATTATGCAACTCTCCAATACCTAATGTTAAGTTGTGTAAAGTGTACGAACTTCGAATGTAGTGAAGAAGGAAAATTTTATAAAACCACTCGTCAGAATAATCAAAATGTCAGAGAATTTATCCTTGGATTGCAGAAACAAGCTGCTAAGTGCAATTTTTGGTGATCAACTTCATGTGCACCAGCCTGATTGATTGCAGGGATCAACATACCTAATCTGTAAAGAGAACTCATGAAAATGTCGAGGTGTTCTTTTCAGGATGTTAGAGCTGTGTGTATTAATTGAAGCAGTAAATGAAATTGACTTCCAGGACATCAGTAATTTCACTACATTACTTATTTATCCTAATCCAATGCGTACTCAAGGTCATGCAGATAACAATTCATTGAGGAATTGCAAAGCAGGTCACAGAGGCCAGCAAAAGTCTGGTAAATGTTTATCCTGTGTTAAATTCCATACACGTAATTCATGTGTATTTCATAATGCTAAATGCTTTAAATGTGGTAAAATCGGACACATTCAATCAGTTTGTAAAACTACTGTTCATTTTGCTGCAAGTAATACTAAACTTCGTGATTCCGATCCTATTGAGTGTTTCTAATGATCATTTATCTTTATCCAAGATTTTGAAAAGCGGTATAGAATCATATATCAGTCCAGAGTTAAATGAAGCCTTGTTAGCCTTGAATAGCTCTAGAACTGAACTCCAGAGAAAACAAAGTTATACTTCACGTGATATTTGTTGAGAAAGCTGCAGGGACTTATATTCAAAAACATATTGGAGCAGCACAATGAATACCAGTGCATCAAAGGAGACTCAAAATAATTGTGAGAAAAGTTTCCAGTGAATCAACTTATCAGATTTCTCATGTTAGTTTACCAGATATCGGTCGTCCTAATGATTCACATATTTCTGCTGAATTTTCCTATAAAAATGAGGGAGACATGTCGAATAAATCAAATCATGGTCGAAAATCTGATGAAATTCTCCAATGAGATTCTTAATAAATCTGAGGAAAATATTTGGGAAGAACAAAGTCCTGATGCTGTCATATCAAATGTTATTTTTCCTCATAAAGTATTTGCTTCTGGTGGAAAACTTGGTCAATGTGAAGCACAAGTTCCAAGTAAATTCAAACCTAATTACAGCTCGGACGATCTCATATCAAATGATGTTTATACTCACCGTGAAGTCACTTCTAATGGGTTCTCTAGCCAATGTGAGAAGTATGTTTTAAATAAAGTCATATTATTTGTAACTTGGGGATATGAAGATAAAACATTATTTAGCGGGGAGGATATTGTTGGAAAATCTATGGTTCGAATTCTAGATAACAGTACACGACCGACGTGTTGATCAAATACAATCCCAGAAACCAGGTGAGTCCATTCCAACTTTGGTTGTTAATTCTAATACTAATGAGCATATTCTAGATCATACAGAGTCCATATCCAATACATATTTGGATAGACACGCAATGAACCTGAGGATAGTACAACTGATTACAGGAATTTGGATTCTCGTTTAAGCTGTGGCGGATGTGATATTTGTATGAAATAATGATTCTTTTGTACTTGATTGCCTGCTGATTTCAAATTCCGAATACAATACGTTCGTTTATGCTCACCTAGTTCCACTTGCCATAAATTGCGGAGACTCCTAGTTCGTATAGTAACTCAAATACTTTTAATCATCACACTACCGCTACAGTAAATCATAGTTCGTTAGTATTTTAACACATACAAGACAAACCCTTTTTTCCAACTTGGATATCGACTACTGTACTGAGTTTACTATACAACACAATAAACAGTGATGCTTTTAGTTTATCCTGACTTGGTTGACATGTAATATCAACATAGTGGACGAGTGATAACTTTCTTGTCCACGGAATAAACAGTTAATGTGTGATCATGGTAGAAAAGTAACACCCAGGAATCACGGACGATGATATAATAATGAATCACCTGCACTATGTTAATTAATTCTGCTTAATAATTGAAAACGGATATATTTTGGTACTACTACTAGTCCAATGAATAAAGAGTCATAAACGAAATTGTATACGAAGCGTTAGGTAAGGTATCTAAATGAAGCATTTAATGTCGACGGAAGAAATATTTACAAAATGATCATAAGGATACATAGGGAAAGTGGGTCATGTTATAGAAATCAACACTAAGATTTGCAAATAATACTGTTCCCAACTAAATTCTTAAAAGGTTTTAACCTAGTACATATTTAAACATATGTTTGAATAAAAAATAAGGCATTCACAGCGAAACAACAGGTTATTAATTGGGAACATGTAGAATAAGATAAGTGTAGTGTGTAATAAAAACACAACTTCCTAACATTTTATATCATTCTTACTAACCTGTTTCCGTCCATCTTTGAATCGAATTTGTACATGCTTATTTGCTTCGAATTATTTTCCGTTAACATTCATATGGTTGTTTGAACAGGTTTCGTTGGCAATGTGAAGTACATGTTTCTGCAGACCTCTAGAATTAGCACTCGATTTTAAGCTACCTAACGTTAGTGTATCAAGAGAATGTAAGTTAACACGAGATACATGAAAACACGATACAACCATTTCCCGAGCTGGATTGAAACTCACCTCTATAAAAGCAAGACAAATATTTGATCATACGAAGTCATCTTCAGCGATCGACTTCAGGGACCACAGTTGTTGACCTAAATTCCTGAATATTCCCTTACATGTAAGAGATGAGCGTAAACCTCACTAAAAAGTGGGAAGCAATACAAAAAATGGCCTTGGATAGAGTATACATTTTCACTGCAGAAAGTCTCACTATATCTTTTATAATTAGTAACACATACTATGTGCTTATTTCCAGGTCATCCTACGTATATGCATGGACAAAAATCGCACTGTAGCCGAAATTACGTAGTGGATTTGTATTCCATAAAACACTGCAACGTTATATGTAACCATTTGTTTCTACGAATTCGAATAAAACGTTATACGGCCCTCATAATTCAGAGACTTCCTTGGAAATTCAGAAGTTTAATAAACTGATCAAACTTAGTATGTATTGCATCACTCCTTCTGAATGTACTTTCCCAACTGTTAGACTACCGTCTTGTACGTGTGTTAAGAAAAAGGTTTTGCTTTTAAATATTAACATCTCATTGGAAAACGGACAAATGTCGAAGCTAAATAAACTTACAAATCTAACGTGGAGGTTAACTGTAGTAGCACACCCTGAACTTACATACAACATGAAGCAGCTTTACAGGAATGGAAGTTCAACAGAACTTACATGGATAAAGAGACTTCCTAGGAATATTAAGTTTTCGTTTTCATCCCAAAGTAATAACCAAGCGGACAATTTTCATCGTAAACACCAACTAAAGTTGAAATGGCAAAATACTACGTACAAATAGTCCTAGCATTGACATATTTATCTTATTGTTGGTATAAAGATAGAAAAGTTTGAGGCATAAAATACAAACACCACTATCATGTTCGGTAAAAGACTGAGTACAACCAAATGACTTTTCCAGAAGGCGATCCACTGACTAGATAGCAAAAGTACATTACAAATAGAATCCCAAACTCGAAGGCTTTGCGAGCAGACATTTGAAAGCTTACAGCTGATGTCAGATTGGATTGTAATAACTCTTAAGGATCATAAACTAAGATGCCAACTCACAATAATTCCTTGAGTTCAGTCGAGGTAGCAAAGCCATCCAGATAACCGCGTAATAACACAGACTAGTTGAGACAGTTCATCTAACTACTGTCTGCTGATATTAATTACAAAAATCATTGCTGAAAGTTGAAGTCCAATGTTAAACTAAAGCCCAATTATAGAATACGGTGCACAAACAACCTACTTATATCTACGTACTATCATCAGACGAATTCAGTTTTTAAATTATTCTATCTTCATTCACATTATCGTGAGGCATTTCTTCAATTTGTAAGACTGTTGCCCAAATAGTAGTCAACATTCTTAGCTCGGACAGCTGTTTAGAGGTATGGAAAAAGTTACAGTCAGTATGTTTATTTTCGCACTAGGTATAGATGAAAAACTGTTAAGTAGTTGCTAAATTGGAAAGATAACGTTCCATAACAATTACCGTGATCAGTGAGGAACTGCTACGATTGAACAATAATGAAGGGTTTATTTTTGTCATACACATATCCATGTATTACTAATACAATCTCTTAAATAACTCAACAAATCCAAACTGTTGTCTCAATATACCATTGTTCAAGACATCTGCAACTGATTAAGGCTTTGCAGTCTATATTTGCTGACACTGCCGAATTCTGTGAGTCTGATAGACAGTCTCATCGCTGTGGCTCAGCGAATGAGGGACATTTAGGGGTTCATTGAGCTTTGAATATCCAAACTGTCACACATGCTCACGTTCCTGTTTTCATATTAAATTTACGTTAGACTTGCCTATGACCCCGGCGACTTAAGAAACCCCCCCTTTCCATCACTTACCACTTCTTCCCGTCAATGTATCCATTCGAGCATTTTATGCTATTTCAAACGTGTATGCAGATATTGATAATCCTTGACTCCATCTGGATCATTCAGACAAATATTACCTATAAAGTCAAGAACACCATATATGATGTGGACACTGGAAGTGGATTCGGTGGTATAACATGAAGCCGACAAATTAAGGACCAGTAATAATGACCAGCTTTATATGATACTACGATAAAACAGAATAAGTGTTTGTAACAATCAAGCAGAAAATCCACATTTTGCTGGACAACGCAAAATACCATTACTCCAACACTAGGCATCCTTTGGTTTCATGACTCGATCTCACTTTATACAGGGTTTAATAAGAGACTTGGCATGTGCTGAATCAACCAACCAACCATTTTAATAGAACGTCCACTTCCACGGTGTGAGCAGCCGGGAAGTAATCTTAGCCCTCATACCCATAACTGCACACGAAACCAAGTTGGTCACTTTCAAATCCCTCCTACGCCTAATAACACTCTTATCTCCACGACTAACCCTTCCCACGTCCTTTTATCACCTCGCACCGCTAGGGCAAACGATTCGAGTACACGGAACGTTATTCCTGGTCTCCTGAAACCACGCTCTAAACTACATGTAGGAACTTTTAATGTCCGGACATTGTGCCAAATAGGACAACAGGCTTCCTTAGCTAGGACTCTAGAATCTTACACCATCAATGTGTGCCGCGTCTCCGAAACGCGCATACAAGATCCGAGTAGCGTCATTCATTTGACCTCACCATACCTTAATAAAGAATCAACTCGATACACGCTTCGTGTATCTGGAAGCCCTGATACTGCTTCTCGTGGCCTCGCTGGCGTACGTATAGCATTAAGTCCTAGGGCAGAACTAGTTCTTTTAGACTGGATCCCAGTAGACAGTTGTTTATGCACTGTCCGACTAAACGGATCAGTAAGGACTCGGAAAGATAGGGACACTAGTCGTTGCCTCTTCGTCGTCTCTGCCTACTCTCCGACTGACTGCAGCTCAGATCATGTAAAAGATGAGTTTTACAGAAAGCTTTCTGACCTTCTCTGAAAAGCTAGGCGTTCTGATGTAGTAATAGTGGCAGGTGACTTCAATGCTCAAGTAGGTAAACTAACTGAAAGGGAAAGACACATGAGTGGATCTTATGGTGTTGTGGCTAAAAGAACAGATAATTGCGACCGTCTGTTGCAGCTGTGCTCAGATAACCGCCTATTTCTTGCAAATACTAACTTTAAGCATAAGGAAAAACATCTTTTGACATGGCGACCCCCGAATTCTTCCCAATGTTGGACCCAGTTAGATCACATCGCTATCAACCACCGATGGATGGGTTCAATAGAAGACTGTCGCTCATTCTGGAGCACATGTTTAGATTCAGATCATGCTCTAGTATGAACACGTGTCTGCGTCTTACTGGACGTAAGAAAGACACTGTAGGTAAGCCTAAGGGTTCTACTTAATGATAGGCAAGCTAAGAAACTATTTCAGGAACAACTGGAAAAACAGTTAGGCAGCCATGTAAGTTGTGCCTACCCCGAGGCAGCGTAGAATGACATCCGAAAAGCTGTGGAAACAGCAGTGATATCCGCTAGTAAGGTAAACCATAAGGTTAGGGAGAAACAATGGATCTCAGCAGCATCTACCGCACTGATAGATGCTCGAAAACTCATCCCATCTGGCTCTGAACATAACGAAGAGCGGAGTCAACTTAAGCGCAGGCTAATAAGAAGCCTACGCAATGATCGTGAACAGTGGTGGGTAGCGAAAGCAAGAGAGATGGAAAAGGCAGCGGCAATAGGTAACAGTACACAGCTATTCAGACTTATTAAAGAAACCGGTATTAGGAACCCAACTATCAGTGAAACCATCTCATACAAAGATGGGCATATCATTCATTCCCAATCCAGGAGATTGGATCGATGGGCAGAACACTTTAGGGATCAGTTCAACTGACCTTCAGCCACACTTCAGTTACCCACGATCCCCAGCCGTCCTGAATGGAAAATTGATGTAAGTCCTACAATTCCCTACGAGGTTGAAAAAGCTATAGGAAATCTGAGGTGAGGGAGAGCAGCAGGCCCTGACAGGTTGACCCCTGAGATTTTTAAGGATGGTGGTCCAGTACTAGCAGCGAGATTGACTGAGGTCTTAGGTAAAATCTGGGAACTGGACGTAACTCCATCTGACTGGTCCCAATCACTGATTGTGCCAGTCTATAAAAAAGGACAAAAGTCCTTCTGTGACAATCACAGAGGGATCAGTTTGATTAATATAGTGTCTAAAATATTAGCTTCAATAATAGTACGACGCCTAACCAGAGCTCGTGAAGAGCAGTGTTTCCGACATGGACGTGGTTGCATAGACCAGATATTCACTCTACGTCAGGTCCTAGAACATAGACATACATTCAGATGTCCCACAATCGTAGCATTTCTCGACCTTAAGGCGGCATCTGACTCCGTTGATCGTGAGGTTCTATGGCAGTGTTTGTCACTGAAAAGAGGTCCAAAGAAGTACATTAACCTCATAAAGGCTCTCTACTCGAACACAACCGGTCGAGTTAGAGCCTATGGCGAACTGTCATCAGAATTGGTTACCTCAAGTGGTGTTCGTCAGAGCTGTCCACTCTCCCCATTCTTGTTTAACTTTGTCATCGACATACTTTTGGAGATAACACTTTCATCATCTCAATCTCCAGGAGTTGAACTTTTACCGGGAGGCTTACTTGTTGACTTACAATACACCGATGACATAGTTTTATTTGGTGAAGACGCTGGCATCATGCAGTCTTCTGACCACTATAAGCAACTATGCAGGCATGTTCGGGATGCGATTCTATCACTCAAAATGCAAAATGTTACTTCAGAATTGGGTTGCAGCGACACCTGAACTAATGATGGGGAGTGAAGAAGTTGAGCGTGTAGACGACTTCACTTATCTTGGGAATCTCATCAGCCCTTGTGGTCTGGTGTGTGACGAAATCTCAGCACGGATACAGAAGGCTCGTCTAGCTTTCGCCAACTTGCGTCATTTATGGCGTAGCAGAGATATCTGTCTAGCAAGCAAAGGACGGGTTTACTGTGAAGCAGTTCGGTGTCTTCGAAGCATTGCTCGTATATCAGTTGCTAGTAAACGGATACTAGGTAAGGATGGCAAACTGATTGATGAAGTAGTGAAACTTCATCAGTTGAGATGACTGGGACACGTATCACGTATGCCCAACCACTGACTGCCCCGACGTGCAATGTTTCATGGTGTAGGAGTAGGTCGGAAGAAAGCTAGGGGTGGCCAGTCACTAACAATTGAACTGAGCCATGTTGGTAGGTGTAGACTACCTGGTTGGGATTCGCGAGATGATAGCAACCGATGGTTAGAGACCTCGAATGACATGGATCAAAATCGTTTGTAATGGCGAAGGTGCATCAACTCTGTGTTCTACCAACTTCTAATCTTCTGAATTCTTCATGTCTCTATCTTTTTCTCTTTCCAAATTTATTTCACTGTATTACACTTTTCGAATAACTTCCTTAAGCCCTAATCTTTCACAAAATGCTTATACTCTTATTACTTCTACCACTATGGGATTTGAATCGACAACTGCATGTGTTAATGTGGTATGGCAACTCGAACTGATGTACGTACGTACGAAGTTCTACGTTGTGACTGACTGACTTAGGTAGAAATGCTACAAGTGTCAACTGGGGGGAGGAGCGACAGTACATCAGTTAAAAACCTATAACTGTCGTACTGTAGCAAGATTTTGATTCTTCTGATATTTGATACGACTTAGATAATTTTGGCCTAACACCTAAAACGAAAAATAACTAATAACTGGCAGCATAACTTAAATAACATCAACCGTATAATCTATTACTGGCTTGCGTCAACACCTGAACTAAGGATAGGGAGTGAAGTCGAACGCGTCGACAACTCCACTTATCTTGGAAGTCTGATCAGCCCTAATGGGCTGGTGTATGACGAAATCTCAGCAGGGATCCAAAAGGCTTGTTTCGCTTTTGCTAACTTACGTCACCGATGGCGAAGACGAGATTAAGGGACGAGTATACTGCGCAGCAGTTCGCTCTATTCTATTTTACGGTTGTGAAACGCGACCATTAAGAGTAGAAGATACTTGCAAGTTACTAGTATTTGACTAGATGCCCTAGAAATATTGCTTTCATTCTCTGGGATCACCGGGTAAGTAATAGTGAGGTTAGACACAGGGAATTAGGCAATGATGACAAATTAGTTGGTCATGAATCTTCACCGACTGAGATGGTTAGGTGACGTGTTACGTATGCCTGAACACCGATTACCACGACGCTCTATGCTGACGAGTACTGGCGATGGTTGGAAGAGTTAGGAGCGACCAAACGAAAACTTGACATCGGAGCATGAAGTCCCTAACGTAAGTCTAAGTCATGTTGGTAGATGCAGACTACTCGGTTGGGGTCCTCGCGACTATCGTAACCAATGGTTGGAGACTCTAGGTGACATTGCTAACGATCCATCACAATGGCGCAGGTGTATACACTCTTTATCTCCCCTTAAACACAGATTAAAATAGCTTTGCATCTGTCTTTCTTCTTGTACTATATCCTTGTATACAATCTCCTTTGTATATATTACCAACACTAAATTAACTACTTTATGAATTCGATGTTCATCTTTTTGTGCTAGTGAAGTATGGCATCCTGGACCGATGGATATATATATGCCTGGTCTAACGTTCTAGCTGACTGACTGTGAAAGCTATAACATAATCGTTTTAAATTGGCGGATGCAAATTGAAAACAACCGGCAGTTATCATTAGAAAACAATGCCAAAACTAGCTACTGGTTACAATGGCTGACCTGTAGGTAAGGACACTTTATCAAAATACTTCTACATTCTGCACACATGCGAATAAGCTAAAGTAGTCTAGTCAGCTCATGTAGTCTTTAAGGTCTGATTAATATGAGTAATGTAAGCAGTACACTAGCCGTTAACTGTGTTGCTTAGGAACATGAGGCAATCACTCAACATTTAAATGAAAAGCAACAAACTTGAGGTAAATATTTATATCCCCAACGAAAATCAACTTTCTAGTAATTTTCGGAAACTAAATTACATGCTAGCTTTACAATTCATTGCTAATTGCAACACTTAGGGAGATGGCTTTTTTGGCAATCTGAAATCGGCATACAGTTCTTTAAATTTGTCGAATCCAGCCAACACACCAGCGCCGGCGACACCTCTAAGTATGTTCGCACCGGCACCTTTCATTAAAGACATTGGGCCTTCATTTTTTAAAATTTCAGATGCACAGTGAATTGAGCTCTTATATTTGACAGCTTGGCCTAAGAAAATAATATGAGAACTAATCATTGCTAACCTGAAGTCATCATCATACGTCGACGAATAGTATCGATCGGGTAGGATATCAATCCAGAAGTGACAGTCACGCCGTATCCGAGACAGAAACTGATTGTCACACCTGCATCCGGTCCAAGGAATATAGGTTTTAAAGTATCATACAATCCAAAGTAAAATCCTCTGTATACAATTATACCGACGCACGAGATAACGAAGCCACGGTAGAGTCCAGCGATACCATCTGACTTGAACGTTTTACTAGGGGAAAATTTAAGTTATATAATTTATCTTACGCATAAACATCAACCAAACCATTGAACTCACGAGTTCCACCTTTTTTGGCAGATTTGTTGTCATTGGCCAGACGAGTTCGAGCGTAGTCCAAAGAGTAAACAAACACTAAGGACAGAGCACCTGCGGCACCACCACTGACTACGTTTTTGTAGAAAGCAACCAAGTATGGATCATCTTTATTTTGCTGAAACGCTGACTTCACCTTGTCCTTAAACGCAAAGTTAAGCGCCTGGGTAGGGAAGTACCTCAAGCAGTTAGGTAAATTTCCACGCCAGAAAGGTAGTATGCCTAAAATAATAGTCAAGAATGATCAACTAGTACCTTCTTGTCTGAATGTCCGTACAGTACAGTCGATAACACCATTGTACGGTTTGTCTAAGCGCCCTTGCTTGATCATCTCATCTTGATTTTGGACGAGTAGTTTAACTCGCTCTATTGGAGCAGCTGCAGTCTTTGCGATAACAGCAGCAGCACCGCTTAGCAGAAAATTTTCGGCGAAACTCAGACCTTTAATTTCTTTGCCACCCTCTCCCATGATGATTACAACTGACGCCTGTTGAGGAGAAAGGTCGCGACTAAACAACGAACGCAGCGGGCCAACTCAGCCAAAAGGTTACTAAAACAAAAGCTTTGATATATAACTATGGTTGACCTTGAGTCATAGTATTAGTCATAGAGTAGAAACTGTCTAGCATGATCTAATGCTTATTTGATATTTGAATGTAAGTGATTGTAAGTGGCTTTAATTAGTTTGGGTTTATGTTAGTTTTGTTGTTGTTTACCTGCTAGATCATCAACCTCTGTCCACAAGATAATATTTCAAATTTAGGTTTTCGCATTACAGACAGAAGGACTGCGGCATCTTTTTTATCTTTTATTTATCTTGTAGATGATGTAGATGATCATCTACAAGATAAATTGTACCAACTGCAACAAACACTATATTGGACAAAGCGGACGCCCCCTGCATCTTCGCCTACATGAACACCAATTAGCAGTCAAACGCCACGACATTTCTTCACTCATATCAATACACGTGGACAACTACGGACATACATTCGACTTGGAAAATGTGCACATTTTGGACAGAGGCAATTCCAAAAATACCAGAGAATTTTTAGAAGCTTGGCACTCAGGTCAATCAGCAATAAACAAACATATTGAAATCAGTCCAATCTATCAACCAATCAAGAAAATTATGCAGGAACATAGGAACAAAAATCAAAACAATAGGAGAGACAATCAAAACAAAGAAATAAACAATGACAGATTTAAGGTCAATAAGAACCAATCAACATCGAGGTGCAGAGGACAAGCTGTGAATCACATGTGGAGAAATTCAAACACTTCACTTCTACCCGAAGTTTGTGCTGATGATGTCGTTCAGAAGGACGATGAAAGCTCCACGACCAAACCATCCAGCTCAGAGAACAAACCAACATAAAAACCCTTTGTATGTGTCCAACAGCTGATTTCTCGATGAGAAAACATATATATTAAATGGATTTTGTTCTTTCATAGTCTTCGGAATAAGCTTTGATTTCCACTCAGTCGTCTTCACTTATGCATATTGTGCAAGCAAACTCAATTTGCAGTAAGGTATTCTAACGAGGTTTGACCTTTCAATCCCCATTATATTTGGCAAGACACATGAGAGCGGAGTCAGGTAGGTAGCTGTCCTTCATCATTTTCCCAGTGGGTTTGGGATCATGTTTCGAATATGGCCTAGAAACCTATACTCGATTTCCCAACTAGTACAACGCTAGGGCTGAATTATCCATAATGGATATGCATGGATCTAAACTGGGAAACTTTGTCCTAACTCATCAACTTTTAAATCCCATGAATGAGACTGATCGGCAGCGATTTTTGGTCAAACAGTCACGATTTATTACAACACCTAGATCACTATGAGATTCTGAAAGGTAATGCAGTTGTAGCTGTCGAGGTCGAACAATACGTATACACAGTCACTTTCAAAACGATCGAAATAAGAATCAAGAAAATCAAGGTCAGCATGACGTTCTAATTTTCGATTATCTAGAGACTTTATCCACGTATCCCTTTCTATAAGATTCATCGTGAGGAATAAACACTTCCTGAAACCAACCTGTTTAACTATTTATAATTTTGTATGAGGAGCGCCACATACGACTTGACTGTAGTTTTCAATATTTTGACTAAAGCACATAAGTTCTGTTTAATACTTTTTCGCGCTATCCACAGTCGTTTGACAATTGTATGGTGCCTAAAATTGTTACTAGTAGTACTTTGCTGATGAGACGATGTATTTTACATAATCATCCATTACCTTTTTTGAATCTTTTTTAGCTAGCTCCCCTAATCCATGGGAGTGACTGACCTATCCGAGAGGTCTGGTTGCATCAGACCCTTATTTCTTTCATATAAACTCCTACTTTCTTTGTTGAAATTGAGGCTGAAGACGTGAACCGTTTCATAGGCTTATGTAATTATTTTTCAGTGTAGAACTTAGTTCAACCAACTGAACCCTAAATAAAAATAATGCATTTGTAACATCCCGAAGAGTAGAAAATCTATTTTTTCTACTCACTGGAATATTACTGGTGTGAATTCTGTAGATATTATTTTCAGAATCTATTATTATTATTACAAAATTATTATTTTTATTTATAACAACCTACCCGATACTCTATTTGTATTTATCTAGTCAAACCTTGGTAATGATACCCACGAAACTTAAGATGTTCGATTTTAGTCGACGTAATGAGCTAACTAACTCTCTTCTGTTTATAGTTCTAATTGACTCGAGTTGGTTGAATTATCTAACCACCTAACTTACGCAGTCTACATTGAATCGGATTATTTAATAGATCTCTCGGCTGAATCGCCCCAACTTGCTGTCCAGGCAATCTGGTTTCGTTCGTACCTCTAAAGAATAGATAAATCCCCAACAGTTGTATATACCTTGATGCGAAGGAAACTAAATTGTAATATATAGATCGCTGTCAAGATTTCTCAAACTGAAATCAGTCTCGTGTGTTCTATGGCCTCAGCTGTTGTAGTTGCCTCACTTTATGCCGTGGTCAACCTGAAAATTAATAGTTGTGTCTTCTGTGACAATAGTTTGACACTAACATTATTGTGAGAAAAATTTCATGACTAGCAAGAGGAAGAACGTTTGTGTAAAAGTGAGCAGGAAATAGAAGGAATATGAAAACCCTTCGCAACAGAAAGAGTACTCCGAAAATCTCCCCAAAGCATTTTATTGGACAGTATTGTCATTTATTTGTTCTCTCTCCTTGTCATTTATTCCAACCCTATCTAGGTCTCTGTTAGCTGCACTCTTTGTTCTTCAGCCTTCCTCGTTCGAGCTTTTATAATGTGACCTTGGTTGAAAACTTACATTTTATTACTTAATTTTATATTGTATGTTGCCAGACTATTGACAATTAGGTCGTGTTTGACAAAACCCAGGGTCAAGGTATGGTCCAATTTATAAGTGTTATCCTCTGACTGTCGGCTTCAAAATGTTACCGGAACACTTGCAGATAGATATCTTATCCCATATTGTTGAGAGTGTTCTACCAATTTGTAGAATTGGGATCTAGTTTGGTATTAGTACTACTATAATAATATGCCTTACGCCAAAGTTCTGCAGTTGTCATGTAACTACCTAATATATAAAATCTTATGTAGAAGTGATGTCATTCTGTACGCTGACTCGTCCCATGGTGATAATTGATAATATGATGCTTGACACTTCTGAGGAACACATTTGGGCTGGAGATGGAATAATATATAATAATAACTTTTTCTCAAAGAACAATATGTTACAAAGGGCATACCATTTTACAAGCAAGATCAAACTGCTACAGATTATACAGTTTTCGTTGTAGTAAGTTATTCAGTTAGGTTGATATTTTATGAAGTACATTGTTCACAGAATTATGGGGAGTAACACTTCTCATATATGAATGTAAATGATGTTAGTAAGACTCGCATTATCCACAGGTGGGCTGGCGCGATTTGTGGGTGTTGTGTTGCGATGTGCAACTGATGGTCGGGAATAAGTCCACGTAAAGTTTTTAGCTCCCATATACTGTAACCTTATATCCTTCTGAAACATCTGGGGCGTTGATGATGGCGCAGGCTGAAGTCACCCGTTTTAAATGTGTTTTCGGTGGCATGCCTCGACGGGGTTGAAAAGGAGGGTAAGAAGATGTGGATGGTATAAGACACATGTAATGACCACGTCTGCGAGAATGAGCTCTGCTCATATGATTATCAGGAGAGCACAATTTGTGACCAAAGGGTGTGCAACTCCCAACTCATGTCTATGATATTGGCGTGAACCTTTGTCAGTGTTGGGACAAATTCAACAGTGATGTTTTTAGTCTGCAAGAGATTTGCTCGACTGCTTGCACTGAGGATTTGCATGCATTAAACCTCCGATTAGACGGACAGGGTTTTGAGATTATTATTATTTCTCATAAACAGCTCAAGGGTACATAAGTGTTCTAAAACCATTTTGGGTTTCTTCAAAAATGCAATAGTACAGAAGTTTCAACAATATTTGCGATAATTAAAATGCAGGTTTTGTGTAATTGAAAAGAATATTGAGCCAAATTCAAGGAAGGAAAGGAAGAAAATAGGGGCATAGAAATGAAGGAAACGTGAAATACGTAAATCATCACGTTTGTGAACACAAGACAAGAATGAGTGATTATATATGTATTGGCAAATGAATGATGGAAAGAGGAAAACGAAAGGGAAGGAGAGGAGATCAAAAAATAATTGAGAAGTTGAATCATTGTTACTAAATGCGCAACTGATAGAGAAACATACTGAAGTAATCTGTAACGGATAAACATAAACACGAGAAATCGACACTTTTTAATGATACTTACAATTAAATTTGTTGACCGAGTTCGTGTTAATAGTTTTATTAATTTTATCAACCATTTTACGTGATTGTCAAATCACGACAATTCTCTGCGACGACATCCGGAAACTCTTATAATTACTTATAGTGTTGATTGGGGATCAGCTATTGGGAAATAGGTATTGTTGTTTGAGGAGATTCGGAAATATCAAAAGTTTGTAGCATAAATGGGTCCGGACTGCTTGACTACACTCCGAATTACTATCTAGAAATAATTTTTCACTTAGTGTTAATGTTAGTGGTAGGCATCAGAGTCTTTATTTTGAACGCTTGAAAGGCTAACGACTACGCCATAATTTAGTTAGTTTCAGTGTAGTGCACTAATATCCTTATGCGATGACTTTATTATCTGAATTACGTTTAACGTCTTTTTGAGCAACATGATAGCCTTGTTTCTAGACCGAAATACAAATAGTAAAAAAGAGACTATTTTGGGTTTGGTGTAAAATGTTAAAGGCAGTTCAAAACATTGTTGAATTTAAATGGCATAGAGATGGTGTAATGCATCGCACGTGCAGGCCAAGTCAATATGTATGCTGATGAGGAATATAGCAATCAAAAAGAAACTTGGCAGAAAAAATTAAAAGTTGAGACTGACTTATGAAACTGCA